GCAGTTAATAGCTCCTAAAATCCAGACCATAGGCTTGTTACATACTAAGTGAGACATGATGAGTTGCTCTTATCCTCACTTGACAGAAGTAACTTAAGGGACAGAAGTTTACTTTAGTTTCTGGTTTCTGGGGTGCAGCCCATCAAAGCTGGGAAAGCACAGGGACTGGGGGCAGGTCCATCTGCGCAGCAGGAGTGTGAGATAACAGCTCCTCACTTCTTGGGAGGTCGGGAAGTAGCAAGGGAACCAGAAGCCTGCTCTAAAACAGCGCCCCCAGGTGGGATCCAGGTACTCAGGCACATGGGATTGTGGGAAATGTCTCACACTGGACATGTAACAAGCCCTAAAGTAATCCGCAGTACGCAGGGTCCAGAGGGAGCCTCCTGCCTGATGCTGGGAGTCCTGGGGCTGTATACGCACACAGGGGATCCCCAGAAGAAAGAGGATCCCCAGAACTGGGAAAATCTGCTCTCCTAGTTGTGGCAGCACAAGGCAAGCAGCCAGGGGGCCCCAAGAGATGCTGTGTGTAAAACTGGGAGATGAGAAGACCCAAAAAGATTGTCGGGGCACAGTGCTGAGAGGGGAGGGTACCTGCTCTGGGTCCCAGCAGCAGGAAGATTTGGTAAACTAGTCAACAGTCTGCTCCCTTTAGGGATTCCGGGTGACCAAGTAGGATACAGATGCTACAGAATAGAAGTATGGAGAAAGAAAACGAGGAAGGTTAAGGGTGCAGAGATGCCAGCGGAAATCTATACTGAAGAACCCATGTCGTTAGGGTCACAGGTGACAATCCTGAAATGACTGTCTACCGGAGCACAAAGCAGGGAGACAGCACAGTCTGCCCCCTGTTCAGATCCCCGGGAGGACATAGACCTCACCAGAAAAGCAAATAATGGCTCGGTCACAGGGAGATGGATTCCAAACCAGCCAGAGAGCTACATCCTTATCTGACACTGTTGGGGACATATCACAAGTGGGCTGTGAGCTCACCCTGCTTCTGTGCCCAGCTTAGGGAGTATCAGGCTTGAGAGGAGGGTGGGGCAGGTCCTAGGAGTTGGCCTTGGCTTGCCCACAGCTATATGAGAAGTGACTCTCTATTATGGGAGAGTGAGGGCTTCCCCATGTCTCAGCTCTTTCTTTTACCTTCCAGCTAAGGCTTTATAGCCAGAAAATGTTAAAATTTCTCTCCTGGATGTCAATGTCCTGGAACTGCACCTGCTATCAAACACTGACACTGTAGTTAAGAGCACTGACTGTTCTTGCAGAAGACCTAGATTTAGTTCCAGCACCCACGTGACAGCTGACAACAGCCAGTAACTCCAGCTCCAGGGGGATCTGATGCCCTCTTCTGACTTCTGAGGGAATTGCATAAATATATTGCCCTTACATGCAGGCAAAATACTCATGCACATAAAAAATAAAATAAAAATAAAAAAATTAACCTCTGATGCCCCGAGGTGCATCCCGGGGGGGGGGTGAGGAGTGGGAGATGCTATGTCTATCCATAGTTCCAGCCCCTCTCTGCCCCTTACTACCCCATACAGAGTACCCTGAAAGCCTGGGAGGACAAAGGCAGCGCTCCCTGGAAAGCCCCTGGGGTTTGGTGCTGGCTAGACTCCCACTGCAAAAGCTTCCCATGAATGGGCTGAGCTTCCCCCTACCCTTTGCTTCAGCTCCGCCGCCCCTGGTTTCCACATCTTAAACACCACTCAGAGAGTTGATAAAGAATGCAGGCTCCTAGGCCAGCTTCCAAATGTTCTAACTCACTGGATCTGGACGGGGTCCAGAGAGCTGCATTTAGCTAACACCTTCTCCATCCCAGCTCAGGGCTCTCAGAACAGGCTAGAAGATGCTGAACGAGAGGCCCTCTGGCTCCGTGGCCATCCTCCCACTCCTGTCTTGGGTTTGGAACCACGTTTCACCCGACTGCTTCTTCTGGACTGCTCCAGGTCTCAGACTCTTGGCTCATTACTGGAGCTCTTAGCCACAGTCCCCGAGCCAGTGAACCGGTGAGCTGGCAGGCTGTGTGTCACCTGAGTAGAGGATTGAAAACTAGGCCATTGTGCTTGACTGGGCAGAGCCCTTCCCCCCAGCCGCCACTTCCTTTCCTGCCTCCCCCACAGAGCCTTGCTTCCAGCACCTACTTCCACTGTCTAGGAGAGAGACCTGGCCCAGAGCTCCGGAGGCAGAGGGACGCGGAGACACAAAACCAGGGAAGGGAGTGTTCAGGAGCCCACAACAGAAGGAGGAAGAAGCAGAAATAGACTAATGAGTCAGGCCTGGGCCTCGGAGAAGCCAGGACTTTTAGTCAGTGTTGGCCCAGCTGAGCCCACAGCCCTCTCCCGTGGTTTTATGAGGGTTCCACTCTGGGGTGAGATGATACATTGTATTCATTCACCGTCTGCTCCCATGTGCTCAGGCGGTTACTGAATACATGGAGTCTTTCTCCCACACATCAGTCTCTCCCTCCCCCCAACCCCGACTTTTTCTGTCTCTCTCTCTGCCCTCCTCTGTCTACCCCTTTCTTCTCTTGTCTGTTTTCCTTTTCTCTCCTCTCTTCTTCAGTCATCTCTTTCCTTCTTCGTCTCTATCTGCTGTGCTCTTCCCCACCCCTCTTCTTCCTTGTGGCTCTGGTTGTAGGACTCAGACCACACACGCGCTATCTCCTCCCATCTCTGGCTCTGGCTTGGCTTCTGCGCCCATATTGCATAGGCTCTGTTTCTGTCTTTGCGCCCCCTACTGTACAGGCTGTCTCCTTCTCCAGGAGAGCAGCACTCCGTGGCTTGATGCCTGGTTCCTGCCTAAGTTAAGCCCTGAGCACCATAGATGCTGTCCCCATGGTACTCCCTCACAAAGGGCAAAGCAGAAGCAACAGAAGCCATTCAGCGATCCGAGTGCTCTCTACCTGGGTGGACTTGGAGGATCTGGTACCCATGCATCCTTCTCCATCCCAGACTGGTTTTCAGGCGCGGCAAGCCTCTTGCCTCCATGCTTTTCCTGTCCCATCCACGATCCTACCCTGACAAACTTGAGACAAGCCTGAGGGAGCCCGGTGAACTCAGCTGAGGGTGGCTCTGGCTTTACCCAGGGCAGGGTGAAGGAAGAGGAAGGATCCTGCTTCCCGTCAACTCTTCCTCCTTAGCGCTCTTGGGGGGGGGGGCTGACCTCTCTTCCTACTCCCCCCTCAAAGGGGTAGCAGAATCCACATCCCTCCATGCCCAGATCGCTGCTTCATGGCACCTCTCTTTGCTTTCATCTGACAAATGACAGCAGACGTTGGGGGTGCCTCTTGGTTTTCTGAGATCATGGGAGAGGTGGGTCCTGCTCAGAGACACCTGGCCTCTCTGTGGATGTCTGATAACCCTGCTGGGAGTGCTGGGGTTGAGCTATAGGAAAGCACCCTTGAAGGGCAAAGTGATTCATGCCCACAGTGTGCTGTGACAATGTCCTGCCAGGAGAGCTGAGGAGACAGCAGAGGGTAGGCTGTGAAGGAGCCAATAGGGAGGTAACGAGGGTGGGGGCATGTGACAGAGATGACAGGCATCAGCTCCAGAGCCTGTGGGCGTGTGCCAGCCACATTATGATAAGTTTTCTTCCTATGGAAAGAAGGCCTAATGTTGGAAGTAGCAGATCAGCATCATGACCACGCCCAGATTCCTGCCACCCCACACGAGACCCTGGGAATAGAGCACCCAAAAAGAAAGTGAAGGGGTTGGTCCACAGAGAGAAACTGTACAGGCTTCATCCTTTCCAAGCAGCTTGAGAAAAGGGGGTTCAGGAAAGACTCACCCACTTGGAGATTCCAGTGGAGAGAAAGGAACCCCTAATCAGTCTTGATAGGATATAGGCTATATAACATCTACCTCCACCCCAATTTTTTTGAAAAGCATCCTTCTGCTTCCATCTTCTAAGTAGCTAGGACCTACCATGCCTGACTCATCCCATTTATGTTGTTTGACCCTCAGATCCTGTGGGGTTCAGTGAGAACTTGGGTCCAGAGCAGAAAGACCTGAGCTCAGCCTTCCACTACCCTTGGTGTTGCTGGGCACCAGCTCATTGTAGTTGGCATTATCTTTAGGTCGCCAAAGACCTCCCAAATAAAGACACCAAGGCTTGTTGTTAATTATGAAAGTTTGGCTTAGCTTATGCTTGTCCCACTAGCTCTTATAACTTAATTTAACCTGTTTCTATTCATCTATTTTTTGCCTTGGGGCTTTTTACCTTTCACTTTGTATGTCCTGGTTTTCTGCTTCCTCTGTGTCTGTCTTTCTGGATGGCCCCTAGCATCTCCCTAACATCTTCCTCTTTCCCTCTTTCCCTTTCTCCCTCTCTCCTTGTCTTCTTCTTCTTCTTCTTCTTCTTCTTCTTCTTCTTCTTCTTCTTCTTCTTCTTCTCCTTCTCCTTCTCCTTCTCCTTCTCCTCCTCCTCCTCCTCCTCCTCCTCCTCCTCCTCCTCCTCCTCCTCCTCCTCCTCCTCCTCCTCCCCTTCCCTCTTCTTTTCTTTCTCCCTAAGTCTAAATTCCTCTTCCTACTTATTCTCCCTGCAGGGAAGTTCCACCTATACCTCTTCCCTTGTTATTGGCCATTCAGCTTTTTATTAGACCAATCAGGTGACTCAGAGAGGCAAGGTAAAACAGCAACGCATCTTTACATAATTAAACAAGTACAACACATCTTTGCATAGTTAAACAAATATTCCACAACAGCCATCACCCTAGGCCTCAGGTATTTGACTGTGGGACAGAGACAATAGGCAATAACTTGCCTTCCAGGACTGCTGCACGAGGTGAGAGGTGGCAGGAGAAAGCTGTCCTCCTAGGTTATTCAGAGACCCCAGAGCAGGGAGAAAGAGCTGTAAGACTTCCTCCATCCTTCCTGGCTAAAAGCAAGTCAAGTTGCCCCCCACCACCACCTCTCCAGGGTGACTTCGCCTTACCCCTCAGCTCTAGAGGAGTTGAAGGGGGCTGACTTTACCCACAACCCCTTCCTGCTTGCCCTCAGCTGCGTGGTAGATGAAATGGACTTTTCCAACATGGAGCTGGACGAGGCTCTGAGGAAGTTTCAAGCTCACATCCGCGTGCAAGGGGAGGCCCAGAAGGTAGAGCGGCTCATAGAGGCTTTCAGGTGAGATGCCTTCCCAGCTCCTCTCCCTGATCCTCCAAATCCCCTGATTTCTGGGAAACAAGTGGTGAAGAAAAGCTGCCATGATTCTGGGATAAGAGATGCTGAGCTGGGTGAAGCCCTTTTGGTGTAGGTGGGGAGGTGGGGCTGGAAGAAACAGAAAAAGGATCCTTTACTGAGTTCTCTGATCTGGCAGCCACATGTGACCCTCCCAGTGGTGCTTGTCACTCACCAGAGCCAGCCCATTTTACTAAGTACATGTGGGAGGTGGGTACTGGAGGATGAACAACCAGTGATTTCCCTGGTCCCCAGACCCTTCAAGGGCTGGGACTGGGGAGCTCACGGTCCTGCCCCACACCCCCACAGCCAGCGATACTGCATGTGTAACCCCGAGGTGGTGCAGCAGTTCCACAACCCAGACACCATCTTCATCCTGGCCTTTGCCATCATCCTTCTCAACACCGACATGTACAGCCCCAACATCAAGCCTGACCGGAAGATGATGCTAGAAGACTTTATCCGAAACCTTCGAGGTAAGAAGCTGGACTGGGGAGGTGGGGTAAGGATGCTGCACAATGCTGCCTGGTCCTGTTCATGTTAACTCTGTGACTACGAGCCCTAACGGTAGATGTTATTTGTTCCTGAGGACCTAGTCACCCCTAGCAGGCTGGGGAAGTTTCGTACTTTCCAGCATATGGAGTCTCCAGGTACCACAGCCCTACTCAAAGTAGCAGGGCCCTGCAGCAATGCCTTCTGCCTTCTGCGTGCTGTGGACCATTCCCACTGGGTGACCGCCAGGCCATTGGCACTTAGACTGCTATCTGGGTAGGACCAACCCTTCTGCTCTCATGACTTATGAGGAAAAAGACTTGGAATAAGGCTTTCCAGCTCTGAGTTCCTTGAATTCAGCCTTGCAGGTCACTTGGTAGCACCTGCCAGGGAAACCTTTCTGATTGATACCATGCACCTCCCACCAGGACCAGATCAAAGCTACCAGCATATAATATATGTAGTAACATGGGTAGCTTTGGGCATTGAAAAATCAAAGTGCCAGAGGCGATACTGCCACACCTGTAATCTCAGCATTTGGGAGGATAAAGCAGGAGGATTGCAGCTGGCTCAAGGTCACCTGGCTACAGAGTGAGTTCAAGGTCAGCCTGGGCTTTCGAATGATGCTGTCTCCAAAAATTAAAACAAAAAATAATGTGCATGTGTATACTTAATAAAGTAAAATAATTCTACAAGGTTCATTACAGAAAAAAAAAGAGAATAGACCCTGCTGCCCCTGCTACCACTGCTGTTCCCTCAAGCCACACTTTGAGTTGAGTAGGTTTCCGTTGTTTATTGATTCATCTTGTGGTGCTGAGAGAGAAGCCAGGGACTTCTGAATGGTAGGCAAGCCGCCTGCCACTGAGCTACATCCCCAACCTGTTGGCTGTGTGTCTACTGTTCCTTCCATATCAATAAATGACATGCTGCTTCTTTCTTTCTATCCCTGTTATGAACACAGACTGTTTAAGATGAATAAATACGACAAGAGTTTATATTTACGGACACCCGTGTGCTCACACCTGAGTCTACAAACTGGACATTTCCATCACCCAGAACCTTCTCTCTCATCCCATCTCACCTGAGACACCTTGGCATCATCTTGTCTTCCAGGGCTTGTTGCCTCCTAAGATATAAAAATGGAGTCACACAGTACAAATACTGTGGTATTGCGGGGAGGGGGTACTTAATGTTTTTTTTAAGCAATGTTTAAATCTCCTATTATATAGAGTTTTTTCCACTTTCTTCTAACACCACCACGAAAACCAGAGAGGGATCAGAAAGCCAAGTGAACACAGCCCAAAGCTACAGTTTTTCCACCTTCCTTGGAGTCGGTTTTAGATTTGTTTTAGATTTGGCTTCTTCTGTTTATACCACTAAAATACCTGGCCCCATCCTGAGCGTCAATATTTCAGATCTGGATGGTCCCTAGGTGCTTTATCTCCTCGTCGCTGTCAATCATGACATCTCCTGAGCCACGGTCGGGTTCCTGGACATCACGGCTTCCTCATTTGTAGTTGGTTTGCAAAGAAAGGGCACATTGGAGACAAAGCAGCAGCCTGCATTCTGAATCTGCCGCCTTCTGCCCTCACATGTGACTGGGAGCTAACTGGAATAGGATTCCAGCCTGGAAAGATGTACTTAGGTGTGGGCATGCCCTGCTCTGCCTTAGTGAAGTGCAGCTCTGCCATCTGGTTCCTGGCCTTGGGAAGGTTGTTTTTCCTTGGTGTCTGAAAGTCTATGGGTTCTTCTGGTTGCCTTTGTGTAGAGAATTTTCACACTGATGTGTTTCTCTTCATCCACTATCTATTCGGGCCAATCTTTTCAGTCTAAAAACACATGTCCAGCTGTGTGATGTTTTCTGATACATAGTATCCTTCCATGTCCCTAAGGAATTGTTTCCAGGACCCTGTTGGGTGTTCAAGTTCTCTCTCTCTCTCTCTCTCTCTCTCTGTGTGTGTGTGTGTATGTGTGTGTGTGTGTGTGTGTGTACGGTGGCATATGTATTTCACCTTCCTTTATACTCTGAGTCATCTCTAGATGAATTAATTATAAGGCCCAATACAATTTAAATGCTATGTAAACATTGTTATATCGTATTATTTAGGGGATAAAGACAAGAAAAAAAAAAACATCTGTACCTTTTTGGGACAAATGCAGTTCTTGGAATACTTTTGATTGACAGTTGGTTGAAGCAAAGTTATGGATAGAGAAGGACTTCAGAGTGTGGTTCTGGTCACTTATCTTTTCTCTTGAACTCTTAACTCGAGTGTCCTATTCCACTTGCATTTACTGGAATTTTCTATGCAGCCATTACCTCTCAAGTCTTCTTCCTCACTCATGTTCCCACAATCCCTCTGCTTTTTGTTTCCATCTGATAACTATTTTGCTCTCCAAACATTGCCAGTATATAACACGGGAGCAGACAGGCGGGGTTCACTGCCTGTGCTACCTCAAGGCATGAGCCTCCTCTTAGCTTCCTGCTCAGCTCTTCTGCTCCAGTGAGGGAAGACACCTATAACTCATTCCACTGCTCCATGATATCCATTCTTGGTACCCTGTCCCCTCCCCTGTTAAAGGGGAAGGGAAGACCCAGAGAGGACAAGACAGATGATCTTCATGCTCATGGGGAGACACGGAGTGAGGTCAAGGCAAATGCACAGAAGACAATAGAAGTGCAGAAGCAACGATGCTTTGGCGGAGCCTGGGAACCACAGGAAAGCGGCCGAGGAGGTGGGAACAGAGGACGTTAGCAGACATTGCTGAAAAGTCTATCTTTCCTTTAGTGGGGATAGGGAGCCAACTGCCAAAAGCTTAGATCAAAAGCAAAACACAACCAAGGCCACTTCCTGGTGCTCTGGTGTGGAGGGAAATCTTGTCCTCCACGTTGGCAGGTGTGGATGATGGCGCTGACATCCCCAGAGAGCTGGTGGTAGGCATCTATGAAAGAATCCAGCAGAAGGAGCTCAAGTCCAATGAGGACCACGTCACGTACGTCACCAAGGTGGAGAAGTCCATCGTGGGCATGAAGACCGTAAGTGCCCGTGCTGATCAGCACTCCCTGCAGCTCTTGACTTCCTCCCCATGGCGGGCCACCCAGCCAGCCATCTCCTGTTTCCTATCCTTTCTTCCCGACATCTCCCCAGTCTCTCCCTTACCTTTTTCAAAGACACTTCCCTGTGAGTCAAGGACTGAGTTTGTGCTGTGCGCCAGGCACTAGCTCCTCTTTCTTTCTTTTCATAATGTCCTCATCCCTCTTGCCGCCAGCTGCCGTTGTCGAAAGGAAGTGGCCAATGATCTAAGGTAGCAGCATGTGGATGGCCAGCTGAGGACGTTTAGGATGCTTCTCACAGGGAGCGGTGGATGGCAGGTGTTCCTGAAAGGGCCCAATGGGTAGAAGGCAGAAAAATGAACTGTCTAGACTGTGGGTGGTGGCAACCGGGGTCCAGGCAGCGTGTTCTAATGTGCAGTGAGTTTTAAAGCTGGCACACCAGGCTACTGGCACCTTACACCGGGTGTGGGTAAGGTGGGACAGGTGCATAGTCCTTCCACTGCAGGGGGCCTTTGAGCTCTCTGTGCAGGGAGGACCCTCACGTCAGAGCCTCTGTGACTCAGGACTCAGTGCTTGTCCACTCTGCAAGCCAGCTGATATTTGAGTTATTAGGGTACATCCTGGGGTCCCTATAATCCCCTTTTTCTTGCACGCTTGTGTTTGAGTGTGTAGTAAAAAAAAAAAAAGGGCATGGATTTCGCACGCACATGGTCACTGTGGGGAAAGGCTGATGTTAGGTCATGAAAAGTCTGAAGACTTATCTCAGTTTCTGTTCCTCCTCCCATGATCTCATTACACAAGCACAATGAATCTCTGGATCTGCTGCCCTAGAGGTGTGATGATGGGAACAGAGACACGCCCCCACCCCCACCATGAGAGGCTGAGGGTCAAGCATTGCCCTCCTCCTCACCATGAGAGGTTGAGGGTCAAGCATTGGTCTCTGCATAGGAGTAGAGCCCATGCCCACTCCCTAAACCTCTATCTCCTCTTCTGGAAAATGGGTGTCATGGGCTAGGAGGAGAGCCCTGGGGTCTCTGAGGCTTCACTATAGAGCCCTGTCTGGGTTTCAGGTGCTGTCCATGCCACACCGCCGCCTGGTCTGCTGTAGCCGGCTCTTCGAGGTGACTGACGTGAACAAGCTCCAGAAGCAGGCCGCACACCAGAGAGAAGTGTTCCTCTTCAATGATCTCCTGGTGGTGAGCAGTGCGGCCAGGGCTGCGCAGGGGAGAACTGGGGCTGGGCAGGGGAGAGCTGGGGCTGGGCAGGGGAGAGCTGGGGCTGGGCAGGGGAGAGCTGAGGCTGGGGCTAGCCCTGACTTTTGGGACTGGGCAGGGGAGAGCTGGGGCTGGGGCTAGCCCTGCCTTTTGGGACTGGGCAGGGGAGAGCTGGGGCTGGGGCTAGCCCTGCCTATTGGGGCTGGGCAGGGCGAGGCTACACATGGAGGCACTGGGCAGGGTGGACTGAGACTATGACCGTGGAGGATATGGCAGCTCCTACTTGGTAAGCCGTGATCTGAAGCAGAGACAGGTCAAAGTGGAAATGAGCTGGAGTCCAGACAACTGTCCTCTCCATGATACAGAAAACCTGGGCAAGGCACTCGGCCTTGACATCACTGTTCTGCCTGGAAGGTCAGCAGAGGCCCGCTGTCCCCGGTCCCAGGGAGAGGCTGAACAGCATGTGTATGGATGGTGTATTTCTCTCTGAAAACAAGTGTCCCACAATAAATCTTTACTACATCCCACTATGCCTGGAGTTGTCCCAAGTGCTGAGAGGCAGGCAGGGGTGAGTGAGCGCCTCCCACAGATGTGTACTCTCTAGAAACCTCTACAGGGTCCCACAGAAGCACCTCTAGCTCTCTCTCTCCACCCTGCCATTCTGGTCCGGTGAGTCTCTCAGGTCCTCTTTCTGTAACCAGAATACTGGACGGAGCCTTGGTGCCTGTCACTCACTGGCAGAGCCAATGAGAAGAGACCGAAGCTGAATCTTAAAACTCTTAAAACTGCTTTCTTCAGAGAGTGGATAATCTGAGAGGGCAGTGGATTAGCTTTTTTTTTTTTTTTTTTTTTGGTTTTTCAAGACAGGGTTTCTCTGTAGCTTTGGAGCCTGTCCTGGAACTAGCTCTGTAGACCAGGCTGGTCTCGAACTCACAGAGATCCGCCTGCCTCTGCCTCCCGAGTGCTGGGATTAAAGGTGTGTGCCACCATCGCCCGGCCTGGATTAGCATTTTAAAAAGCCTGTCTCATCTCCTTCCAGCAGGTTACTTAGGGAGCAGGCAGGGGCAATGAAGGCTATGAGCCCTCCTCCCCCCCATCAGGCAATCACTGGGGGAATTTGTGATCTGGCTTCCCCCTTGCCCTCTTCACTTCTTCAGTAGAAATTTAGGCTCAGACACTTGTTGGAACACTGAGTCTAGTTGGTGACTGTCTGCATTAACCTTGGATTCCTGCAGGAGCATGGGGTTTAGGAGGAGGAGCTTAACTCATAGTATATGTGTGGACAGCCAGTGGTAAATATACATTTTTGCAATACAAATGTGTCTGTATATTACAAGATGTTAAAATATTCCTCTAGGTTCCTCATGTCCCCTGTCACTTCCACAGAACCATGGTACCCTTCTGGGCAAATCAGGGCCTCCCATCTACCCGGCTCCAGCTCAGTCCTTCATCCCCCAACCCCAAAGATCTCTAAGCTCATTGGCTGGGCACCCTGAGCTGCTCTAACACTCTGGAGCCAGGAGCTGCCTCCCACTGCCCAGGCCTCCTTTCTGGCCGCCCCTCCCCATCCAAAGCTCCTCTGGGTGTGGTTACTTGGCTCTCTTCAGGTGGGTCGCTAATTGAATGTGGTCTCCCTGGAGGTCTCTTGTCCAAGCAAGGCAGTCTGCCCAAGCACTTTCTACTTCTAATCCTATTTGACTTCCTTAAAAAACACTCTCAAGTTTCTGAAATTGCCTCATTTGTCCCTTGCTTTGCCTTTGTTGGGTGGGTAGAGAGGTTTTTTTCCTTAACTGTCTTCCTCTACCATCACACAAACCCCTCGAGGGCAGGGCTTTCTGTCACATCTGTTCTTCTGTCTCCTCCGTACCCTGCTCATAAGAGCTACTAAATATATATTTATATTTATAAGTTTACATATTTGAGCAACTGGTGAATGAATCTTTCATATTAGGCAGAAACAAAAATCAAAGGAAGGAAGGGAGGAAGGAAGGAAGGAAGGAAGGAAGGAAGGAAGGAAGGAAGGAAGGAAGGAAGGAAAGAAGGAAGGAAATGAACGAGACCATAGCCAATGGGAGGAGGAGTGCTTTGAAATCTATATATAAAGTGGTAGTGGGACAGAGTGACTGGGTGGCAGGGGAAACTTGGGGGCTTGCTTTTTAGTTTGTGGGTTTAAATGTGGTTTTGAAAGGAAGTTTTCTCTAAGGAGCATTTTGTGTTAACTTAAATAATGAGAGTAATCTGGCCATGCAGAAAGCTGGGGGGCGGGGTGGGAGTTGTGGGAAAGGAGTGGCTGCCATAGGACTGAGCTCGGCTGCTTCAGCCTACAGAAAGGAGGACAGTGTGATGCCGACACAAAGCCAACATGGGGCAGAGGCTGGATCTGGGAGGGCTTACAGGCCAGGGCTTCGAATGCAGAAGTAGTGGGTCCTGGTGGGTTTTAAGCAGGATGGCGCATGTGTATTGTGCCAGTGTGTGTGGCGTGACTGCATCTGATGTGCATAGGTGTACACCTCTGTGTCTTGACAGTGTTCACAATGTCTGTGGGCATCAGTGCCTGCCCCTGTGCACACCTGTTTGCCGCGGCCCCTCTCACCTGTTTCTGTCCCTCCCCTGCGCAGATTCTCAAGCTGTGCCCAAAGAAGAAGAGCTCCTTCACGTATACCTTCTGCAAGGCAGTCGGCCTCTTAGGCATGCGGTTTCAGCTCTTTGAGAACGAATGTGAGTCCCAGGGCTGGGAGGGTGGGAGCTTCACCCAAACCCTAGGCTTCCTGCACTAGCTTCCTTGCTGTGGTGTGCTCACCACTGGGGTGTGTCTGGATTCCAGATTATTCCCACGGCATCACACTGGCAACTCCACTCGCGGGCTCTGAGAAGAAACAGGTGCTGCATTTTTGCGCCCTGGGCTCTGACGAGATGCAGAAGTTTGTGGAAGACCTGAAGGAGTCTATTGCGGAGGTGACGGAGCTGGAGCAGATCCGGATAGAGTGTAAGAACAAGTCCCAGTTTCTAAGACAGACAGAGGGAGTCCGAAAAGGCAGAGGAAGCCAGCACACGCACCTACCTCTGCCTCCTGGGAACTGCCACACCTGCTCTGCCCTGGCCTGAGCTCCACTCCCACCCCCTTGGACTCCTAACATTGCTGCAACATCCCATCCCAATGTGGGTTTGCTTCACAATTACACTGAGCCCTACCTCCCAGGGTTCACACACGTATGCGCACATCTGCCAGCCTTGTGGGGTGCACAAGGCCCTTTCTCACCTAGAACACTGCTGCGTTGTCCAGAACAGCCGAGGGGAGCTGCTCCAGGCCGAGCAGATCCATGAGACCGAGAGGCAGGACGGCACGGCGACATTCTGCTTATCTCTGCTGTAGCCTGCAAGGTGGCAGTTTTGTCCCCTTTGAGAAAGTCACCAGTGCTAACACAGACAGGGATGGCTTATGCAAATGAGTCCTAGGCTTAGCCTCATAGTCTTTCTGCTATGAGGACTGGAAGAAGAGGTTCTGTGTATAATCTCTTAAGAAAATAACCCCAAAATCGAGCTAAAATGAAGCCCAGAGCACAGGATGCTACTTGGCAAGGGGGTGGTAGTCACTGAGGACATGCTGGTTTTGTACAGCATTGGTTTATTTGGACTCAGGGGTTTTCAGGGTCAGACTAGTTGTGTAGAGGGCCCAGTGGGGCTATTTCTTCTGGAACATTCTCAGAGTGTGTCTTGAAAAGGATTTACTTTTCTTCTGATCAGAATGTCACAAATGGCCCCAAGCTGCTTAGAGAGCCACTGGGCACCTGGACTCAGCTGTACTGAGAGAAGTACTGTCCTTCTAGCCCAAGGGCATCCCAGAAGTCCTTTCTCAAAGTAGCAGAGGCACAGATCTGGTCAGAATCCATTATGTCAAGTGGGAGAGAAAATCGCTTCGGCAGACAACCGGGGGCGGGGGGGGGGGCAGGAGGCAGGGGAAGCCAAGCGGGAAGGAAGGGTGGACGGAGGACTGGTTCGCGGGGTAGCAGGGGTGGCGGAAGCCGGCTGGCCGTTGAGGCAGGCGGAAGAGGAAATGAGTAAGGAAGCAAACAGAAGCCACAAGTAGTCACCATTTAAATACCTGCTACACAGCTGGCACAGGGCAGGTGACAGGACCCATCACTTAATGCCCGCTTCCCATATATGCTCATTCCTCTTACAAGCGAGAAAACTGAGGCCAGCAGGGCTTTAGAAGGGAGTCTGAGTTCTCACAGGGAGTGACCATGAGCATCACGCCCAGGCGCTCCAGGCACATGTGTAAGTAATTACGGCTCTAATTCCTCCAAAACCAGGAGGACCCTCTCGGGCCAGCAAGTAACTAACTCAGTACGAATGCCCTCAAATGATGGCTCACCAGTGTGGGCAACAAGGACAAAATGCTGCTCTGGACACTTCCTGCTCCCTATCCCTAAATTCTAGACAGCCAGAGAAACAGCAAATGGAGCCCAAGTGGATAGTTTTAATAAAGGAAACTTGAGTCATGTCCCATGGAACCAAGAAGCTGAGAGAACGCTTTAATAATACCTGTCAAATCTACACGGATGGCAACCATTGGGTCCCTAGAGCCACGGGGAGGATAAACCGGGTAGCTGGTAATGCAGAAAGGCTCCAGCAAAGGATCAGCTGGGACATGTGTCCCAGCTACACAGGCTGTGGAATCTGCCCCTTGGGGGAGCACTGAACACCCTTCAGGAAGCTCCGCGGCTGGGGTGCGGAAGGGGGCAGTCCTGCTAGGTGCACGTGGATGGACCGGATGTCGCCAACTATGCCTAGGGACTGCAGGCTGCATTTTCTGGCACACTGTCCTAATGCTAATACTTGGCACGCTTGCCCAAGTCAGTCCTTGTTCTGTGTGTTTTACCTCAGGTAATCTTCCTAATGACGTTGGGCAGTGGGCCCAGCTATCTCAAGCAAGGCAGAGTAGGCTAGGTAACGTGCCTAAGAACTGTTAGTCCAGGGTGTCAGCCCCAGCCATCTGCCTCCCTGTCCCACACCAGTCTCTGGCAGTCAAGCAAATTTTGCCATCACCCCTCAGAGCGCCCCGAGATTGAACTGGTTCTCAGTGCTCAAGCCCACCCTGAAGTCCCTGTCGGAGTGGGCAGGAACAGGTTCTCCTACCTCCTCCCGCTGTCCCCAGATCCTCTTGCTCCCTGGGGCTGGGGGTGGTTGTGAGGGGATGCCTCTGTTCATGGATTCTCCCTTCCTCAGGGGAACTCGAGAAGCAGCAGGGAACAAAGGCTCTCTCTGGAAGGTCGGCTGGCGCCCAGGGGGACCCACAGTCGAAGCAAGGATCACCCACAGGTGAGACTGGGCTCTGCCCTTACCTGGCCCACTTAGAGGCAACCACCGTCCTGTACTTGGCTCTGGAGGCTTTGGGGAGGGGCGCATACTGTTTCTGTAGCTATTTCTTTCCATGGGGGCGTCCCAGGCTCGTGTCTTTAACCTTTAGTCCTTAGCTCAGGGTGGAGAAGAGGTGACAGAGAAATATATCCAGTTTGCAAATGTGAAATGTCCCCACTTGCTCCTGGGGTCAGGCCACGAGCCCTGATGTCCTCGCTTCAATCCAGATGAGCCTCAAGCTCTGTTTCTTAAGTGGTGTCTTCAGATTAAATTTCTCCACCAGCCTAGTAGAGTCAGAATGAACTTAGGACATAGTTTTCCCTCTGCTCAGCCCTGAAAGCCTGATTCTATCCTTTCTGTCAGCTACCTCAGTTTCACCCACTGGCAGGGAGTATGGAATGTGGGCTTGGTCTTCCCCCAAAGCCCTCTCCTAAGGAGAAATTCAGAGAAAGACAGGAGATACCCAGAAACCCCATCCATGGCTCAGGCATCCGCTTATCCACTCAGTCTCACACCCCACCCCACAGTCAGAGCTTAGAACATGGGCACTGAGCATCCACAGGCATAGGACAGCTGCTTGAGCTAGGAAGACAGTGGATTCCTACAGCCCCAAGGCCAGCCCCTGCCACGACACCCACCTCTACAGCTAGTCCTAATGGCAGGTGAGGGACAGACAGCAGCCCAGAGACTAACGGCACAGCCAAGACGTGCCATTCCCGTTCCCAGCAAGGTTTTGAGCTCTGTGTTGTGGAAAGCCCCTCTCCCATAACTCCCCTTCCGCCTAAACCAGCTGCCCCCACCCGTCCCATTCACTTTATGAGGGCTCAGGATGTGGGTCACTGCACGTTTTCAGGGCCGCCTGGATTTTCCTCTCAGTTCTCAGTTGAGGTTGTCCACCCTCCCAGCTTCTCTTGTGGGAGCTGCGAGCCCCTGTCAGATCTGGACGGGCATCTCCAGGGTTTTGCCTACGGCGCCCTTCACTCTGCAGTCGCCTTTGCACCCGGGGAAGCAGAGGGCTCGAAACTGCTGCCCTGGGGATGGGGAGTGAGAAACTCAGAGGCCAGACTTCAGAAGACCCTAGCCAGGAAGAGTCATCGAGTCACTCCTGGGGGGCCATGGGGTCCTTGATGCACACCAGGTGGCGAGAAACTGTAATCTTAATTACCAGCAGCCAGCAGCTCCGCGGATGGCAAGCACTGTGGCCGGTTGCTGTGGGCCTTTAAGATCCTCAAAACGCAACAATTCCCCTGGTACAGTGACCATAGCCAATGACAGCCCCTCCTTCAAGGGAGCTACGGTGGAAGGGGGCAGATTTACATGGTGCCCACGAATCAGGGCCCACTCAAAAGTCAGCTTTCCCTAGACTGTCTTAGCAAGGGTTCGACTAGGAGAAAATGACTCCAGAGTGCAAACGTCAGAAAGAATTCCAGGGACCTCCTAGTCTGTGGAGGTCCAGAGAGGTGCAGCATACTCCCACAAATGACAGCTTCTCAGTGGCCCAGCGCTATCCAGCCTCCTATACCAGGTAGCACCCCAGTAGAGTGTGGGGGGCACATACAACCTTGCGACCCACACCGCTAGGAGTAGAGATGCCGATGGGGAGGAGGAGGGCCAAGGGCTCCAGGCAGGACTGGTGGAGAATGAGCTCTGTGCTGTTTGCATTCAAAGCCAAAAGGGAAGCCATGGCAGGAGAGAAAGCGGCGGAGAGCTCGGGGGAGGTAAGTGGAGGCCTGGTGGCATCCAGGTGAGTGATCCTGTGACCCCTTGTCCCTCTTCTCACCGTCTCTGTTGTTTCTCTTCTCAGGTATTAATCAATGCCTCCCCAGCCCGACTCACCATTTTACCAATTTCAAGAGATACAATTAAAAGTTACTGCTAGCATGGGTAACGCCACTCTTCCAGCGCCTAGTTAAGCCGCAAGCACTGCCAAACCGCTCCCCAGTCAGCCAGCCCAGCCCACTGTCCTCCAGGGCCAAGCTCCCAGATCAACCCGGGGAGATGAACCCACAATACTGTGTGGCCCTCCCTTCCATGCTCTCTGCACACCACTTCCCCCAACACACTGCTCACTGCCCACCCACTCCCTCCCCCAGTACATGCTGTACCAGAGGCTCAATGGTCCATTTCCAAGTTCTTCCATTCCCTTAACAGGGAGCCTGTGCTCCTTCCCAAAGCCCTCCCTAAAGTCAAGTCCTCCGTGATCACTCCTAGGGACATTTGGATACCTCCTGGGAAAACGGGAGGAACAGGGTTGAGACAGTGAGAAGGAACTTTCCCCTGGAGCACTAGTCTCAGGAAAGCTGACCCTGGTGTTGGGTGAACACGGGAGAAAGGAAGGCAGCGCAGGGCTGAGACGCCTCAGTTTTTCCTGGAGAGGGGGGTGAGCTGATAGAGCTGAAGACCGACCCTCCTCACCGGAGGAGAGGCTGCCATCTCCTAACCGCAAGGGAAAGGAACCTAGAAATAATAGCTCGCTCCTGCCAGACCCAAAGCAGCCCCTAGGGGTAACATCCACTGCCTCCCATTTAGACCCTCTCCATGGCTGCAGGATCCTGAGGGCCACCAGCTCATAGACAGTCCTTTCCCACACCCACTAGCAGGAGGGCTCCCCTAGGTGTGAGGGAGAAACCCACCCAGCTGCCTGCCAAGCCCTGGGGAACCACAGGATACCTGGGAGTTCAGTTTCTCTCTGTCCCTGCACCCCCACCCCCTCGTGTTTCTGGAGGAGGCACCTTTACCCGGAGGAGCTTCCCGCCCCAGCAGCTGACCAGCCCCCAGGGTGGGTATTCCATCCCCTGCCCTGCGCCCGCATCTTCCCGCAGCTGCCCATTCTCAGCCTTGCAGATAACCCTAACCAGCAACCTTCCAGTGCATCCTCCCAGGGCTGCCCAGGGAGGACCAGCCATATGATGCCCCTCTTCCCTCCTACCTGCCCAAAGGAGTCACATGGCTATCTGCAAGGCTGCCCCGCCCCCTCCAGCTAGCTCCAGGGATTCTGCCAGCCTCTGCTTCCCTTAGCAGAGGAGATCTGGTCATCCTATAGCCTCTTGGCTTGGCCCTAGCTCCCTTTCCTCCAGCATTGCTTAGCCAAGCCCCTATGGCAGGCACTCCTCCATCTTCTCTGAGCTATTCTGACTGCTACCCATGTTCATTCTCTCTCTCTCTCTCTCTCTCTCTCTCTCTCTCTCTCTCTCTCTGTCTGGGGGTGGGGGCTGGCATGTACAAGGAGGGAAGAATAGACTTTGCAGGCTGAGACTGAGGACTGTACGTCAGAGCAACTGGGGAGGAAGGACAAGAAAGGCTCACTGGCCCTGAATTGGGTGGCCCAGCTTTGGTGCACCAGACACAGGGTGCCTGTGAGTGGGGATTAGGAGGCAGAGAGGGTGAGCTTGATCAGGCTGTCTCAGGCCATCTCTGGAGAATTATTCAGAATACAAGTAGAAATGAGGTTAGCCTGTGCCTTGCATTAGCAGCAGTGACATGGGCCCTTCTGCCTATGACATCCCCTGAGAGGACAGAGGCACTGCCATGCCCTCTGTAGACTATGTCTTGACAGAAAAGAACTCTGGACACCCATCTAGGGTGATTTCAGGCCTGGGCAATGCTGCCCAGGTGGAGAGTGAGGGCAGAGGGAAAAAAGCCTTGTGGCAGGCAGATGATGATGCTAGATAGAACTTGAGGACCTTGGGGGGCAACATCTGATGGGGGCCGCACAAGCCTAGGAAGGAGACCCCTGAAATTACATTTTTAGGCAATAAACAGGTCTGGAAAATGCTGCCCTGGGGCTCTGACAGGTGTGAGCTGTTTTGACCCAGGCCTGGAAGAAGGTCCGCCTCCTGTGGCCTCAGCATCTGTGCCCTGAGAAGCTGGCCCTAGGTGGTACCTGGGAACAGACAGGCCCAGTGGGAAGCATCTACAGAGAGAAGGGTCCCAGCCACCCCTGGAAGGCCCACAAAGAGGATGGTGGTGTCATGTCTACCAGCTAGGGGGATGAGACTGGGGTAGAAGAGGGTGAAGAAGTAAATATTTCCCCTTCCCGTGTGTCCACTTCCTTGGCCTCTTCTGCTAGAAAGAGGGGGCTAGATGAGTTTCTACCCCTAGGCCTATCCCTGGAGGCCTCTCATGAGTGAAAGATCTCAGGCGCAGGTTTAAGGGACAGACTGTTGCGGGGTCAGGAGTTTATTAGAAGAATTATGGACACCATGGGGCAGAGATAGATGGACAAGAACATGGCAGGTCTCTAAGGAGAGGCCCAGTGCCAGTGACAGACCATGAATAAGAATGAAGAGAGGAATCAGGGCGCACATGGCAGAAGTGGGGGCCTCTTCTTAGAGCCATCTAAAGGAGCATGGGCCTGGCACCAGGCTCTCAGAGTCACAGGCAGGAGTTAAGGATGTGTGACCACCGATACCCACTTAGACGTTAACGTACTTCTCTGGGCGAGAAAGCCCGACACCCGGAAGTCTGTTAGCTGAGGACTCAGAGGCAATGCCCTCAGTGGGCACCTCTCAGTGTTCGTGGAAGTGAAAGGCAGCAGCTGCAGGTACTTAGCCTGAGCAGCCATTCCGGTCTGACTCTAACATTACATTCATGAGTCTGTCTAGGCCATCTGCTCCTGATCCATGCACGGAACCAAGATGGAGGCTCTCTGTCATCTCTCTGCCCTGTAACATGCAGATCTAACCAAGGCCAAGTGGGACAGGAAGGCAATGGGGACTTAACTCTGCCCTTGACTGTCTCAGCAGCTCTCAAATGCAGGGATCATGGCCTTAGGGAGAATAGGAGGACAGGTCAGGTTCACAGGACCCCTTCAGGGTCCCCTGGCATCCTGGGCTCAGGCACCTTGATGGCAATTTAAATGATGAGGCTTTCTGCTTCATCACACCTGGGCCACTTGGAAGATGAGTGGGTAGAGGGTACATAGGGAGGTGTTTTCCCTGCAGAACCATCTCACAGATGACGAGCCTGGGGTCTGGAGACCCATGGCTGTCACAGGCAGTCCCCATACAACCCCAGAAGTGTAGGTTTAGAACAAGTTTTGCTGTGGGCGGAGAGACCAGCGTGGGGTCTATACCAGGGCCGAGAGCATCCTACAGATGGTAGGCAGGAGAGGTCTGAAGGGAGGCTCAGGGAGGCTTGGGTGGCCTGCCCCAGCAGCTGGGAATTAGTGGTAACATTTCATGCTTCTCTGGCTGTTTCTAAACTAGGTGTCAATTCACAACAGGCTTCAAACGTCCCAGCACAGCCCCAGGTTGGGGGTCGAGAGGGGAGAGCCACCACCGCCACCACCAACATCACCACCGCCGTTGCTGCCAGACCCACAGCCTAGCCCCCTGAGGGAGCAGCCCCCACAGCTGCCACCGCCGCCACCCACACCCCCAGGCACCCTGGTGCAGTGTCAGCAGATTGTCAAGGTCATTGTCCTGGACAAACCCTGCTTGGCCCGCATGGAGCCCCTGCTGAGCCAGGCTCTGTCCTGCTATGCCTCATCCTCCTCAGAGTCCTGTGGCTCCACACCCTTGCGTGGTCCAGGCTCCCCAGTTAAGGTCATCCACCAGCCCCCGCTGCCCCCGCCCCCACCCCCGTACAACCACCCTCATCAGTTCTGCCCACCAGGCTCTTTGCTGCTCCGGCGCCGCTGTTCCAGTGGTTCCAGAAGCCTGGTGTAGGCTTTACCCTTAGCACCCCACTATTCCAATGGGCACCCCACTATTCCAATGGGCTGTCCTTCAGGAGCCCGGGCTGCCCCTTGCCACTCCTCACATCTTGGCATAATGCCTTCCTGGCCGCTGATCACTGTTGTGGAAAGAGAATGCCCTGGCGAGATGGTTTGCTTAACCCAGCCATCCTTCACTAACTTATTTGAGTACCTCACCACAAATATGGAAACACCTTCTTATTCTTCCAGGGGTCCCACATAGCCAGATGGGCCATGCCTTCTCTGTGTTCACCATGCTCCCCTAACCAGACTATAGATTGAAAAACTGAAGCTGAGGGGCCGTGGGCTGATGGGCTTGCACTCTTGATCTCTTAGTATTCATGCCTTGGGCCAATGGACAAGAGCAAAAGGCTGGACTGGCCAGCAGCACAGCCCAGGACAGAGGCAGACTATCCCAGCATAAGGTGTATCTATAGCCAAGCCGTAGAGCCGTAGCCCTGGCTCCCTGGAGGGACGTAAGCGTAGCAGAGGAGTGGGGCTTTATCTGGGGTTCCTGTCGCTCAAGCCTGTAGTTAGGAGACTGGTTCTTAGCTCCCGGGGACCTTGCCTCCCTTCACCATGTCAGCTCTCCTGCCACCACCAGAGAATTCTGAGCTTCCTGGACCCAGGAAAGATCTGAGAAAGAGAAGGGGGCAGATTTTTCAGTTCTGTCTGGGTCATTTCAACAGGGCCCTAAAACCGTGAGATCAAGTCTGCGAAGTGCACTTTCGAGAACATTTCTTGGTTCTCTGGCCTCAAACAACACTCAGTCAATACCGAGTGTGCACAGGCAGTTACCCATAAACACATGTGAGAACCCACCCGGTTGATTGCTTCCCTGTGAAGCCAGAGCAGGGAGATGGGGTGCTGGGCAGTCCGGCAGAGGAATGACTTGGCCTGGAGTCGGGGCTTCCTCATGTCTGACTCTGCAGCCTCTGTGTACGCAGACAAGGTGAAGCCGTGAGGTTCTAGGGTCACTGGGTCACCCCTGCCGGCCCAGCCTTCAAACAGTCCCTCCCTGGAAAATGCAGGCTGGCTTCCAGCAGGGATGGCGAAGAATTCCTGGACCTTCCAGACTGCAGGGCAGAGCCAAGCGGGGCTCATCAACTTTCCAGGCCTATCAGGGCCAGATGAGGCGGCCCCGTAGACGACAGGAGTGTGTCATAGGCTGTCACAAGGCAGGCCAGCCTCCCATGTCCTATGCCAGCAGCTATTTCTGACCTTCCTCGAGATGCCTCCTAGTCATGGCCTGTTTTTAAAGTTTCCCGAGAGGTGAGAGGCACAGTGGATGCTGTTATGGCTGGAATTGAATTAGCTTCTCCTGGTCCCTGCTGTACCCTCCAAGATTCAGTACTCTGGACCAGAGAAGAGGCATCCAGGCTCTTATAAAAGACCAAATGACCTCATTTCATGTGCACGCATGTGTGTGCGTGTTTTCACCCAGAGGTCATTATGATGGTCACCATTGGAGTTTCTGGCCTTTTCTGCAGCTTTTGGCCAATATGCTATCTCCCCCAAGGGCTTCCAGTCTTTCTGAGTTGGCTGCCTTGGGAGCACCCCTATTTCAGAAAACAATCAGACTCTGTCAGAGTGGAAGAACTGACAGATGAGTGCATTACTTAGATGCCTCACCGTCTGCACTGGGGCAGAAAGGGTTAGGGCCTGGGGAAAGCAGAGCTTTCGATGGGACTGGATGAATGAGAGGGCCCAAAATAGAAGGAAATTTATGACTCGTAGGGAGGATGTGAGGTATGAAGGAGTGTGAGTTATGAATGTGTCTAAGTGTGTTTCTGGAGCAGGGTCATGGTGTCGAGGGCTGATGAAGAGGGACATTAGCCCTGTTCACATTGTCAAACGCTGCCCGCTGCTCACATCAGACTTCCAGCTAACAGCGTCCCCTGTCCCTCCGCCTCTGCCGAAGTCTGACTTTCCTGATGAGCTCCAGTAGAGGTTTGGGGGCCGGCCCACCTGTGCGAGCTCTGAGGACCCTGACTCCCAGGCACCTCGGGTCTTTTCCCCTGGGAGAGTTTTCCCTTAGCTGACCTAGACGCTGCTGGCAGAAGCAAAGTCCAGCCCAGAAAGCCACAACAGGGGCTCACAACATGGACCGGTCCTGAGCTCCTGGCAGGGCTTTGAGCCCCACTAGCCCAGGGCCTGGGGGGGCCGAGAAAGGGGGCTGGCCCACCTTACCAGTCAGGCGAAGTTAGAGCCGCCACAAATTTTGCGTCTCTCCCCTGCTTAGCCAGCCTACTAATGGTAGAATTTATCTGTACCTCGGTCACCAGAGAACCTGGGAGAAACCTCCTGCCCCCGCCCATGGCAGTGACCAGGTCATGGCCTGAGACCCAGAAAGAGGCTCTTGAGACCCCAGCTGTCTCAAAGTTAAAAGAACAGTAAAATACTGGCTGATCTCCCAGATCCCGTCACCCCAAGATGCCCCCCTCCATCAACTCTCTAGGCCTTACTGTGGGGAGCCTGGGCCCCTCTCCCAATTTATCTACTTGGCCCCAACTCCAAAATCAAGTGGGAGGTGGAACCAGCCTTCCTACCTACTTGTAGGCAAGCCCACCTCCAGATGTAGGTCCTGTCTTGACAGCCTCTCCTGGAAACCAGGCTGTCTGTCTTTTTGTTTGCGAAGATGTCTTGCTCCCACAAATATGTATCAGCCCTGGATCTTTGACACCCCCACCCGCCTGTCCAGAGCCTGCCAGGGTGTCTCCGTTACCCAAGAGAGGTCCCTGATGTCACTCATCTGTCTCTCTCTCTGCATCAGCTGTCCATCTTCCTGCAGTACCTCTCCCCCCCTGCTCACCCTCCACCAGAAGGAGTGACAGCTCTCTGGGGACAGGCAGGGTGGCTGCACTCAGCAACTAATCCAAATGGCAAATATTTTGTAACAAAATAGCCCAGAGGTATTTTATCTGTTCAATTCATAGAGTTTTAGAGATTCTATTGAAATGTGTCACTTGAGCAAACCCGTGGTCCGTTGTTTCTTTCGCTCTCGTGGGGGGGGGGGTATGAGCAAACCCATGGTCCGTTGTTTCTTTCGCTCTCATGGGGTGGGGGGCCGACATGACACACCAGCATGCATGCCACCTCAAATCAGAGTGTCTCCCTTGCTAGGGTCCAGAAAGAAGATATACTGACCATCGTCTCTTGGGGATACCCAGCTTCTCTCTGGCTGCAACAATCATTCTTTTCCCCAAGATAAATGGTATCTTATGGTATAACTTCGTAAGGAAGCTCTGTCTTAAGAAACTGAGGTCTGGGTGCTAGAATAGTAAGGACTAGACATCGGATGGAGGGTATCGGGGCAGAGCTGACGTAAAAGGTCAGAAAATTGCTCTTCAAGAGTAACTTGCCTCCAACCCCAACTGGTACATTTGTGCATTCAGTGGAAAGCAAAGGCCTGGGCATCCACGTCTGATTTTCACCAACATTCACACCCTAAGTCTGACACCCAGTCCAGGGGATGGCTTAACAAAGCCAGGATAACAGACTTGGGTGAAGGAATTATGGGGCACCATTGTGGAAAGAGAGTGTTTCCAAACCCCTCCCATGTGTTGGGTCTCCTGCTGGGAGCAGAGAAGGAATCCAAGGCTGCGAAAAGAGCAAGACAACAGCCAATTGGTTAGAAGATGGGTACAGAGACGTGTCGACTTGATAGCCCACTCTTGTAACCCCGGCACATGGGAGGCTGAGGCAGGGGGGGTCACCGTGAGTTTGAGAACTACCTGGGATACATAATGGGTTCCATGCAAGCCCAAAATATATAGCAAGATTCTGTACCAAGGACACAAACAAACGATGTGTCTAGGAGCCTGGAATGAGAGCTGAGGAAAGAAGGGCTTGAGTACATATTCACACCCAACGAGCTCAGCTCAGCTCAGTGGACAAGGCATAAGATCACTAGGGGTGCTTTCTCCTGGCAGGGCCAAAGGAAAGAGCGTCGGCCAGGTATCAGTGAACCTCTTCTGAGGAGGAAAATGATTGGTACCTGCAAAGAGGATGCCAGCTTGCCAGGTGACCAGAATTCTGAAGACCCAGACATCTAAACAGCTCCACAGGCTGGCCTCATGGTCCTCAATTAAAACCTCTGGGAACATAAGTTCACCCTTTCCCAGGAAGTGGGAAATTCCAGAAGAAGCAGATACCAGCTTGGACTTGTCCCATCCTGGGAATTCTCTGACCCAGAAAGCTAAAGACTGGTCCCTTGAGAGCATCCACAAAGGGTTCAGCTGGGGCTAGGCCTGGGAGAGGGTCTAAGGCCAAGAGGACCCCAGGGCCAATGATGCAAGAAGGCCAGCAGGCAGCTCTGCTCTCCCAACATTCTGGCCCCTGCAGTGTGGTCCAGGAGAAAGTTCACCACCAGAAATGGAGCCTCTGGGTCCATCTGTCATAGGTCAGCGCCTGTGATGGCACTTCGCAGATGGAGGAGTCACACATTGGTGACTGACTCTTCCAGGGGTCCCAGAATTTCTGAGTTTCTGACTGAGAGCAATGGGCCCAAATAAGAGGCTGGTGCTAGAGTCGGTGAATTAAACCATCAGCTCGTACATGGCTGACAGGCAGTGGGTGGGAAGAGCGCTCATCACTACACACAAAACTCTGCTCTCAAAGCCGCACAAGGGAAATCTCCTGGGTGTCACACCCTGTGGTGACAGGCAAGAGGTGACGGGGTGAGGTGAGTATCTGAGCAGAGGATGTCCACAGAGCGCAGTTCATCCTGGTCAAGCCAGAGAAGCTGTCTGAAGCCACATCAACAGGGCAGATAGAAGCCAAGACAAAGTGCCAATGGCTCCCTGATATATAAATTTACCTACACTGAAAAAAAAATTCCACAAAGGTATAAATATGAAACAAACAAACAAATAAAAAAACACTAAGAAAATCATAAAAAAAAATGGCCTTCTAGAATATCCAGGTTAAATGACTGCCAGAAACCCAAGCCAACAGAAGAAGGGTCTGATG